CCTATTGGCCTCAGTTGCTTTTAAGGTATCTGCTTTAGTTTCTCTGCGTTAAGGGCAACAAATGCTAGCTAGTTTTTTAGGTGTCTTACCTATCCTCATACCTCCCTTGTGTGCTCTTGCTTTTATCATGTGCTCAAAGTGGGACTGGGGTTTGAAATCAAGCTTGCAAAGCAGTCACTCTACCACTTGAGCCATGCCTCCAGTCCATTTTTCTGTGGTTATTTTTTTTGGAGATGGGGTTCTTGTGAATTGTTTGAGGCTGGCCTCAAACCATGATCCTCCTGATCTCAGCTTCCCAACTAGCTAGAATTATAGACAGGAGCAACTGGCACTTGACTTCAACTAATTTTTACAATAACCATCCTGAATAAGTATTGAGGGTGATCTGAGCAAGGCAGCTATTGAAGCATTTGGGCCAAAATAGTAAGTTGAGCTAGGGCAGTGGCAGTTCCCACATAGGATGAATCCTAGATTTTGGTTTAAGTGGTTTGATTTAAAGGGGAGAAGGAACAAGAGACAATAAATTCAGGGAACTATTCAGTTAGTATTATCAGGTAAGGATATCTAGAAATGTGGCTGTGAAGGACTTAGGAGAGACTTATGGGTTATTAATCATTGCATTTCCTCTCTGTTAAATGATGCAAGCTCTAAGTTTCTGTAATTAAGTTACTACCTAAGAAGCAATGGAGTTATAAAGATAGCTATCCCCACCAAAAATCAAATAAAATTAGGATAAGGTTCTGAAGCACTCAGGGATCTATCCTTAATCCTTTACTGCAGAACTAAGAATCATCTATGGTTCAATGAAAAAACATACATGTAACCCATTTTATTCCCTCCCCTCTGATGAGACATTGATTTGTAATGATAGTATTTGTCTCTGAAGTATTTTTCAAAATATGTATTTAACAGTCTGTCACTTTAAACTATTAAACTATACATTAACCATGTTCTTTTTTTTTTTTTTGGTAGTAGTGGGGCCTGAACTTGGGGTCTCATACTTTGCTAGACAGGTGCTCTACCACTTGAACCACTCCACCAGCCCTAACCCTGCTCTTTAAATGCATAAGCTGGAACTAGGATGACAGATAGTCCCTCAGCCAATCACTCTGCAGTGGTTTGGGGTGTAACTGTGTTCTTCACCATGTTTTTACTCTTCTCTGGCCTTTCTTTGAATCAGTTTCTTCATGTTTTAGGAAACAAAATTGGCCCTCAATCACTGACAAAAAGAAAAAAGAAGGGAGGGAGATGGGAAGAGAAGGAAGGAAGGAAGAGAGAGGGAGAGAGGACAGAGGGAGGGAGGTAGGGAAGAAGGATGAAAGGAATGGAGGGAGGGAGGGAAGGAGAGAGGGAGGGAAGGAGGGAGTCAGACAGGGAGGAAGGAAGGAGGCTAACACTGTTTTCACAAGTTTTCTGGCATGTAAATGCACTTCCACAAAAGCAGTGAAGCAAACATTAACAGGCACTGGGGACTGCCGGAATTCCTATGGTATGGGTCTGGGAGAATTAATCCAGAATGTTGTGAATTGCAGCTGGGGAGAATTTTGACCAGAGGTATGACATGATTTGGGGAGCAATTGCCTGTGTGCGCAACACTACATCACCTAGAACTATAATATAACAACACATAGGACTGATTTTGCTAGGCTCCCATTTCCATCTCACCAAATAAAATATGAAGGTGTTTTCCTAATTAATGCTGTCTTTGAAGCCATAGCCTAACACTATAGACAGAAGACAGTAAATTACAGTGTTTTCCTCCAAATTTAATTTCAACTTCAAGTGATAGGAAATAAAAGTATTTCTTAATCTACATGTATGGACATGTATCTGTATGTATACACACACACAATTTGTTTGCAGTTGGAACAACTTCAGACTCGTTATCCAAGGCAAGGTTTGAATGTAAATAATAGAAATATTTTTTAAGCAATGAAATCCACGGGGGATTCAAATACATTCATTTCTAGCCTTTACATTGATTGGCATGTTAATGCCAGGACATAATTTAATATTTCAATTTTTCTGCTTACTTTATATGCTTTTCATTTCAGTTTAATATTATTTTTAATATTATTTTATGTGCCAAAATAAGGATATCATCCTAGAAAACCACTATTTATTTCATTAAGTGTGAAAGAAACATCTTTTATGAAGTAGCATCATTCCTAACTCCATCTTTCTGTGGCTCCCCAGTGACAACCATTTTTCCCCTCAGATATGAACACTTGCTTATTTTCTTCATATGTATTTCTACTCTCAAAAAACAGCTGATAAATTAATTAGTTAATTTTCAGAAGTGTTTTTAATTATGTAAAACTGTATGATATTGTGGATCAGAAAATCGAGTTTGAGGTGAAGTACAGATTTTTTTGTATAACATGTACTGATCTTAGAGTCACAAGATGCAGATTACAGCTCCCTCGCCAAGGCGCGTAGCTTTCATAGCCTATTTCTCATCTGTAGAAAGGCCTGTTTGGCCTTTCTCTCAGAAGACTAAACAAGAGAAGTTAAAATTGTTCTATAATTTAAAAGTAATAAAATAATTATTTCTCATACTAACTGAAAGCAAAACAAATCACTGTTTGCTGGGGCCCAAGTGGTAGAGTGCTTACCTACCAAGCAGGAAGCCCTGAGTTCAAACTCCAGCATTGTCAAAAATAAAAAAAAAGTATTATGACAAATATTTGCACTGGTGTAGTGGCTCAAGTAGTAGGGAACCTGCCTAGCAACCATGAGGCCCTGGATTCAAACTCAATACCACCAAAAAAAAAAAGCAATCACTGTGACCTAAATTATTATATTTTGGTTGCATTTAGGCACTGAAGAAGATACAGTGAAGTCAAAGAAAGCATTCAGAAGTCAAGCAATAGTGAACCAGAATGCAGAGACAGAACTCATGCTGGAAGGAGATGATGATGCAGTCAGTCTGCTGCAGGAAAAAGAAATTGACAATCTTGCAGGTAATTTTTTAAATATTTTTCTTCTATTTGTCTATGGAAATACACAGTAGTTAATAAATTTAAAATCTGTATCCTGATGAATAAATGTACCACAGTGCTCAATCATGTGAATGTTAATAGTTTATCTCATTTTCTAACACTTAAGAGAGGACCCCAAACAAATTTTTATTTTACTGACAATAAATAGCAACAACTCTCTATGTAAAATATACAGTGTTTTGCATAGGAGAAATACCACATGGTATAAAATGTACACATATAACTGCTGTAACCCTGGGACATGGGGCAGGAAGATACATACCTTGACTTATATGTCTCTACCCTGCTAATAGCCATGAAGATAGTCCCTTCAGCCAGGTAACCATGGAATTTGCCATGTCCTCCCTGCTGCCCTTGCTGCCCTTCTGTGGAAGATCCCTTCCCACTGCTGGTTTTGTTCTCTGCTAATCCCTCATCACTAGCAGACATTTTCCCCTACCACCCTCAGTGTCACCTTGCCCTGGCTCTGGTCCAAGGTTAATTGAGGAGAGCATCTGCAATGACTAGATAGGGTATGTCTTAGAATATTGGCTGATAGCCTTTTTTGGTTTCACACCACTTTGAGAATCTGATGAAAGCAGATGACTTCATGAAGATCACGTATAACTGGCACAATTTCAAAGCACTCACTGCACCAAAGAAATTAGTCCGTGAAATCATATTCTAGATCCCAGGTTAAAAATTCTTGCTTTAGCCAGGCATGGTGGTACATGCCTGTAACCCCAGCACTTTGGGAGGTGAAGGCAAGAAGAGCACGAGTTTAAGGGCAGCCTGGGCTACATCTCAAGGCCTGTCTCAAAACACACACACACAAAAAAAACAAACAAAAAGAAAACCTTACTTTAGATTCTCAAAAAGTGGCCACACATACACACACATGCACATACACAAACAAAAAACAAACAAAAAGAAAACCTTACTTTAGATTCTCAAAAAGTGGCCAAGTCTTGCCACTTTTCAACCCATAAGACATTGTAGTGCAAGGTAGCAAAAGATATGGCTTTACATTTGTCATTCTGTTTACAAAATCACACTTCTGTTTCCAGAAGCACACTGACAATGGTATGGCTGAAGAAGCCTTGGTAATTTATTTCTACCAGTAAAAGAGCTCTTTTTACTAAACAGATGTTACTGACGGTGTCATCTCATTTTCCTTCTTCTAGATTAAGAAATTATTTAGTAAGGGCTGGGAGAAGTGACTCACAGCTATAATCCCAGCTACTTGGGAAATAGAGATAAGGAGGATCATGGTCTGAGGCCAACCCAGGTAAAAGCACAAGGTCCTATCTGAAAAACAAACTAAAGCAAAAAGAGCTGGGTGCATGCCTCAAGTGTTACATCACTTGCCAAGCAAGTGGGAGGCCCTGAGTTCCATCCCCAGTACTAAAATAAAAGGGGAGGGAGGAAGGAAGGAGTTTATGTTCCTTATAAACCAGAATTCCTAGATTTAAGAAATCAGCCATTAATAAGTTTTCAGGCCATATAAGTGCATAACTTTTTTTGTTCTAAGAAATCATCATCCAGATTGTGGTTTACTCTGTCTCAGAAATTATAATTTTCAAAATAATGTGTTTCATATTCATATCTTATCCTAAATAGCCTGCTAATACTACACTGCTTTAAGAAAACTTTCCCAGTGCAGGAGAACTGAATCTAAATTAAACCCAAGAGATCACATAATCTATGTACAATGTTAATATAATCTTATACTTATTTGATGTCTCAGAAATATTCTATAAAATAGCAATTGCCTATTTCTATCTCAGAGATGAAAATTACAAGTTTGTTCTTTCATAGTTTTATTTAATGATATGGCTTATACATTATTAGTATAAGAAACATGCCAATCAAAAATACACAGTAATTAGAGTTTTCATATTTTAGATTGCATATGAAATACATCATGTCTATAATAATAATGAAACCTAAACCTGCTGATTAGCATAATTTATTTTCCTACTTAAAAAACCATTTTGATGATAGATGCACACAAATGAAGAAAGCATGTATTACAATTTTTCAGTATGCAATATTATTTAGTAGTGAAGTTAAATTTAAACAGAAAAATGTTCAAAGCCCCACTCCACCAGAAAAACAAAATAGGATCCATTTTTGTTTCTAAAAAGAAGGAAAAAAGGAAGGAGAGGATAGCTGCAAAATCTTCTAAAAGCCAGTGTTCAGATAGCAATATATAGGTAACCCATTTAATTTTCACAACAACCCTGCTACCAATTTCAGAAATGAGGATATGGAGGGCCAAAGAGGTTAAGTAATTTTCATAAAGTTAAAAATACATAAAAGAATGTCTTTCCTTAAAAATCTGTAGTACATGGTTTAAAATAAAATATACCAAATGATATCTTTAAATATATGTGTGGCTAGATGTGTGCATTTATGCATACTTTTTTAGCTTTTCTCAAATGATGTAAAAATGGGACTCTCTCTTTATTAACTCCATTTTCGCACTAACTCCATTATACTTAGAAGAGTATGAATATGCATGATAACTAATTTTAGCTTTATTTGTAGATAGTCTAGGTGTTGTACAAAATCCTGTTGGTAAGAAAAAATCTGATAAGTAATAGAATGCTGTTCTCACAACTTTACTTAAATGTTGACCCTTTTTCATGTTCTCTCCATTTTGTTTGCAACTTTCTACTTTTAATAAACATAAAATGTTCCACAAAGTTCTGTACCTTTAAATATCATACAATTCTCTGTTTTACTTTAGTTCCCTTTCTTCCCAAGCTTTTCATCTCAAGAGGCAAGTTAAATATTTGTGATTACTAATTATTCAATTTATTTTGTATTATAGTAGATGGCTAATATGATTAAAATATAGAAGTATCCCAATCAATTAAGTAATTATATTAATAACATCTAACTTAATTTACTCTAGTTGCTCTTTTAGTTTGTAGTGATTCACCAAAGTAAATTAGCACCTATGATTCCATATTTTAATTTATTAATTATATTTTTACTTGAAATAGAGAGTAACTGGCATAGCACAACTGATATTTTAATCTAAAATATCAATTATTTTAATTTGAAACTTAACAAGTTGCTTCCTCAAATAATAATTGAGCAACTGAAATTTAAGATTAACTCAAATTTATGTGAATAGACAAGTGAATGATTTCATTCAACTGATAGAATTGCATCCCATTAATGAAATGTATTTCATTTCTTTTAAGAGTGTCACATATGCTTAGTGATAAGAAAAATATTTTACATAACAAATTCCTTTATTGTTACATCCAAAAGTTAGCAATTTTTCTAATCTAATTTAGGGGATTCTGAGTTAATAAGGATGGTCCTTTATGTTTTATTATCAGTTCTATAAATTATAATAATTTTATTTTATATATAAACTGGTATTGCCAACAATGCCCCTATCCATTTAATTTGCAGTAAAAATTTTCCACAAGCTTAAATTAATATCTAAACTTTCTTCATCAGAAATTTCCTTTGCATCTCTATTCTATACCCTCCCCCATTTCCTCCTAGCATCTCTCCCTCCTTTTAGGGCCCATTTAAAATATGATGAAATAATCACCACATAAGAATTTTTTTGCAAACATTTTCTGGAAGCAGCTTTATTGAGATATACCTCACATATCATAAAAGTGACCAACTACAGAATTATGCAATCATCACCACAATCAATTTTAGAACATTACATCACCCCAAAAAGAAATTGTGTACCCTTTGGCTATCCCCCACCTGTTGTCTGTTTCCGGTCTAAAGCCCTAGACAACCACTAATCTATTTTCTATTTCTATATATTTGTCTGTGCACATTTTGTGTCAATAGAACCATTTATACAGTCTTTTGTCTTTCATATTTGGCTTCTTTCACTTAGCATGATATTGTTGAGGTATTGTTGGAATGGGAATATTCCATTGTGTGCATATACACACGCAACATTGTGTTTATTCATTCATTGATTGGTAGACACTTGTGTCATTTTCACCTTTTGAGTGTTATGAATAATGATGCTATGAACATTCATGTAAAGGTTTTATGTGAACATAGGTGTTCATTTCTCTTGAGTATACACCAAAGAGGATAGTTCCTGGATCAAATAGTAACTTTATGTTTAACTTTTTGAGAAATTGCTAGACTATTTACCAAAGTGGCAGGACCAATTTACATTCTCATCAACAGTTTATGAGAGATCTAATTACTCTACTTCTTTCACAACTCTTGTATTGTCTGTGTTTTTTTAATTCTAGCCACCCATAATATTTTGACTGCACCATTCATAACATATTTACCACATGAAGCCTCATAGTAAATAGGTTTTTGCATATTTTCTCTCTCCTTTTAGACTATAGATTTGTGAGTCAATGCTCTGTATAGCTATCCTTATCTCAACCAGAAAACACCCTTGTTCCTTCCTATTATTGCTTATACTCTCTCTACAACAAAATTAGAAATAAGGGCAAAATAGTTTCTGCTGGGTATTGGGGGGGGAGAGGGAGGGGGCGGAGTGGGTGGTAAGGGAGGGGGTGGGGGCGGGGGGAGAAATGAACCAAGCCTTGTATGCACATATGAATAATAAAAGAAAAATGAAAAAAAAAAGTAGCAACTTATATACTATTTATCTTTGAACCATGAAGTCTTCCCAATACAATTTCTTAAAAGACTCCTGCTGAACCTTTGGTAAAAGGTCAGTAAAATAAACAGGAGGGCTGAGATAATTAACTTACACCAAAAATTTTTTTTTAAACTTACTCAATAAACAAAACATTTAATAAGTATAACTATTGAATAAAGTATTAGGGGCTTAAATAATTATAAGATTATGTGCTTATACGTGCCTAACCATTCAAAAAAGTTACTTAGTTTATCACTTTTTTCCATAATAGGGACATAATTGGTTATGTTAATCATTGTTCCATTCTCAAATCTGCAAATCATGTCATTTTAACTAAATGTCTTTTAAGGCCACCATTTAC